TCCTTAGATTTCAGCTCTCTAGCTTCTCAGATCCCCGAGTTATGGACTTATCCGAAAAAAATTTTGACGGACTCGTACGCGGATACCACGCTTACCCGGGAGTTGAGTTTGAGCTCATCAGTGTCTTCTCGGGCGGGAACATTCCCTTAAAATTTCGGCTTTCTAGCATCTCAGATGCTCGAGTTATGAATTTACGCGGGGAAAATTTTGGAGGGCCCGTACGCGAGTACCACGCAGGGTATGGCGCCAATTTTGGGGATTGGGGCTCGTACTTGCATGTAGATTAATTCCTCAAAGTTCCAGCCCCGTAGCTTTTGTAAGTCTTGAGATGAAAAACCGTGACAGGCGCACACACGGACACACAGACATACAGACAGACACACACACACAGACAACCTCTCGTCAATATGCGTTTTTTGCGTTGCACTACTGCAAAAAACGTATGAAAAGGAATTTGGTCTGTGGTGGTTTGGTTGGGAGAATTGTTTGGTGATTTAAGTAGAATTGTATCGGAGCAATTTCTTTTGTAATTATGCGTCTTTGCATATATGCAAATGCGAAAACGCATATTGTGACGACCCAGGTGTGTGTGTGTGTATATATGTGCGTGTGTGTATGCATGTGTGTGTGTGTGTGTGTGTGTGTGCATGCGTCTGTCCGGGTATTTCAACTCGACACCCAAGCAAGCTCCGGCGCCAAAATTTTGCAGGTGGGTTTCCCGGCCAGATGGCACCCCAGAACCGCGGAACCAACCCTCAAGCATGTCTGGGCCCCGCGTATGAGGGGGTGAAACTTTCGGCGGGAAAATCGCTAACTCGAGAACCAGAAAAGCTAGAAAGCTGAAATTTTGAGGCTATGTTCTTCGTGTACGTAGAACTCAAAGATTTCAAATTCAGCGTGGTTCCCGCGTATGGCCCCGTGTGGGTTCTTGGCGTGAAAAACGCTAACTCAGGAACCGGGAAAGCTGAGGAGCTGAAATTTTCAGGGGTGTTCCCAGCACAAGTACAACCTATAGTTATCAGACTCAGCCCTCCAGCTTGTGTGATACTCACGTACGGCCCCGTAGAATTTTTTGGCGCGGAAATGGCTAACTCGGGAACCAAGAAAGCTGGGGAGCTGAAATTTCCAGGGAATGTTCCCAGTACAAGTACAACTTACAGCTATCAATTTCAGTCCCCCAACGTAAGTGGTAATCACGTACGGCCCCGTGAAAATTTTTAGCGGGAAAATGGATAAATCAGAAACCAGGAAAGCTGGGAGGCTGGAATTTTCAGAAAATACTGCTAATACATGTTCAGCTTGAAATTGCCAAATTCGGCTCCCGAGCACGCGTGGTTTTCACGTACGATTCCGTGAAAGGTTTTTGGCACGGAAATGGCTAACTCGAGAACCAGAAAAGCTGCGGAGCTGAAATTTTCAGGGAATGTTCCCAGTCCATGTACGACTTAAATTTATCAAACCCAGCCCTTGGGCATACGTGGTATCACATACGCCCCGTGAAAATTTTTGGCAGGAAAATTACTAACTCAAGAACCAGAAAATTTGGAAAACTGAAATTTCAACGAATTGTTCCCCGTCCACACTTCTCGGATTTCGAGGACCAGTATACTGCACATTTCTAGCTACTGGGTTCCGAGCGATTTCATTACAGCATAAAATGTTGCAAAAACGCATGATCGAACGGGCCCGCCCAGTGCGCGGCGCCAATGATTCTTCCCCTCCAAACAGCAAATAATTTTATTTGTGTGTTCCCGACTCGCTTGAAGAAAATTGTTGTTGGTCGTGTTGCTGTGAAAAAAAAAAATTAGATTATTGAACCGCGTGGCAGCACTGGTTGGTAATTCAAGAAGTCATTTTTTTTCTGTCCAAGATCAGGAATTTTACAACAGAAGACAGGAAAAAATTGGTGCATCGGCCGGGAACCAATGCGGCGCGAGTAAAGTTGACAGTAGACGACCAGTAGCACTGGGAACTTCGAAATGTCCCAAGCACTGCAGCAACTGCGGAGCCGACTAAGAGAAGACTTCTACTGTACTTGGAAAAGGAATGGCAACCATTTTCGGGACAAGAAGACAAATCCACGAAAAAATCAGATTACAGGTAACATGTCAACAATGCTCGTGTAATGGCAACTGATACAAGTAAACACCCAGCGTTGCTCGTGTAATGCTCGAGTAACGCACAATTCGCAATGGTGCCCGCCGACTTATACAGGTAACGACCGTTCCTAAATGCAGTACTTGAGCATTTTCAGCAGATTAGTTGCACTGATGAGCCGCTGCGTCAACAAGCTCAAGTAACATTAAGGAAATGTTCGTGTAACATAGCCCCAGCGCTTGTGTAACCGTCGGACAGCAGGGAGGTGGAGCTAGAGCGCTCAGTCAGGCGACAACAACCGCTCATCGCGTGGTGAGACGGTTGTTTCACCGCATCCTCTGCTACCGATGGTCGGTAGCAGAGGATGCGGTGCTTGGTATATTCCGGAGACTGAATTATTTGGAATATTTTGGAAAGTGATGTATTTGGAATACGTTGCGATCGTTTGCAGGTATTTTTTTCAACGGTTTGTGCGAGTTTAGAGGGGACCAGACTGTCCCAGTCAACTCAGCTGCAGTGTTTACAGGGCGCATGCACTTGCAAACAAGGCGAAATTTTGTTGAAAGCATATCTTGCAGCTGCTGGAAGTTACGAAACGAAAAGTGGCAGCAACGATGACTGCGGTTTTGCTGAAAAGTTTATG